GGTTACTCCAGGACTGTAGTCTCGGAAGGCAGGGGATGCAGGGCCCTCTTTGAGGTAGGGAACCCTTATTGGTGCATGAACTGAACGTACTGGGTTTGCAGCCCTTGTCACACGTTCAGATAGAGATGCCCACGAAGGGAATCTTGGGGCTTCATGTGGGGGAAGCCTTGGAGTTTAATTTGGTGTAAGCTTAGGAGCCATTGACTTGTAGGTGAGCCTCAAATGACATTTTCTGGGAAAAGTCCAGAGGAGAGGAAAAAAAGAAAATACGAAAATGGTGCAATTCTCCATTGTAGAAGTGAGGAAAGGTCCCCTAAGTCCGCTATCAGGAGGCAGTCGAATATTTTGATGTGTGTTGTTCACCACGCTCAAGCATAGGCTTGCACACTTACACAAATACATAGGTTTACACACTTAAACTCACATAAATATAGTGCATGCACACTTCAGTGCTCATTCGTGGTATTTCCTTCTGTTTATTTCACTGAAATTTCTTGTTAAAATTAATAGTTTCTGATGGTTTTTTTTTTACTATTTCAAATTGCTCTGAGATGCAAAGCCTTTTGTCTATTTGTATGTGTGTGTCCATGAGTATTTACTCAGGACAGTTATAACTGTAGTACTTACTGGCAAATTGTGTGAAAAATGTAAGACTTTGATCACTTCCTCAAACGATATTCCATATGTTAGGGTTCAGGTGTCTTTCCCAGCAGTCTCTGCCTTGCCACATGTTTAATAACTTAAAATATTTAAATAACCACAACCATATGAGAAGTCAAAAAAGAATGCTTTTATTTTTACCTATCATATTTTGGCATTAATAAGACTAAATATTTTTGTATATTCTACCAGTAGCCTGCTTAATCTCCCTCCTCTTCCATCTTTTCCTTCCTTCCTCCTTTTTTTTTCTTTCATTCATTGCCTTTGGTTTGGGCAAAACACACACCTAGTTTCCTGTTACTTTTCTCTTTCTAGTTAGATTTCTGTAAATTTTCTTTATCTTTTAAGGATAGTAAAACATTGTGATAAACATGATGTGTATGTTTGTTCCTTGTTTTTTAATGTTGATTAGATAGATAGATAGATAGATAGATAGAGATTTATACAGAGAGAGAGAAGACTAGTAACAAAACAAAGTGACAGTTTCTAATGATATGTCTTAGAATCTTCACTAGAAGTTTCAAAAGAATCCTAAGTAATGGTAGAAAAAACTGAATCACTGATTTTTTTTCCTTTTCTACTTGGGATCTGCTAAGTTTTTGCAGTTGGTCAAAGTTTCTACTTTTGTTTCAAGGTAAATAATTTAGGGCTAGCAAGATGGCTCAATAGATAAAGTACTTGCCACCACACCCGATGACCTAAGTTCAGTCTTCATGTCCTACATGGTAATGGGGAATTGATTGTGAGTTATCATCCAACCTCCACACATGCACCATGGCATGTCCATGCCTCCCCACAGCTAATCAGTAGACAAGCATCATTAAAAATTAAGATTATATGCAAAATATTCATCAGTATGGTTATGGTCTAAGGCCAGTTCAGGCACCCTCTCCTCCGCTGCCCAGGGAACAATCTGGGAACCTCTCCTTGGGCCTGGGAACCCCTCCAGAATCAAGTCTCTTGCAAACCCCAAAATGGCTCCCTTAGTTGAGATACACACCTCCCCGCTCCCACATCCATCCTTCCTCCCTCCCCCCATCCCATTCCCCCAAGCCATCCCCAATCCTCCCCCCTCCCTTCTCTCCAACCATCTCCCCTTAATTCCACCCTCCCGCAATGCCCCGTGCACCCAAGTTTGCCTGGCAATCTTGTCTAATTCCAATATCCAGGAGGATAACTATATGATTTTCTTCAGTTTCACCTTCTTATTTAGCTTCTCTAGGATCACGAATTATAGGCTCAAAGACCTTTAATTAAGGGAGATAGAGACAGACACACATTGGAACACTGGACTGAGCCTCCAAGGTCCAAATGAGGAGCGGAAGGAGGGAGAACATGAAAAAGGAAGTCAGGACCGCGAGGGGTGTATTCACCCACTGATACAAGGGGACTGGTCTGGTGGGAGCTCACCAGGGCCAGTTGGACTGGGACTGAACGAGTGTGTGATCGGGCTGGATTCTCTGAATGTGGCTGACATGGGTACTGACTGGGAGGCCATTGACAATGGCGCTGGGTCTTGTTTCATCTGCATGTGCTGGCTTTCTGGGATCCTGGTCTGTTTGGATGCTCACCTTCCTGGACCTGGAGGGAGGGGGGAGGAACTTGGACTTCCCGCGGGGCAGGAGGCCCTGACTGCTCTTGGGACTGGAGAGGGAGGAGGAGAGGGTATTGGGAGGAGGGGAGAAAGTGGAAATTTTTTATAAATAAATGAATAAATAAATAATTTAAAAGTTAAGATTATATAGTTTGTACAAGTTATATAATTTTTTCATAATGTATTCATTGAAAAAGCAGAAAGTTTAATTATTTTTTTGAATATTTTAGTTGTTTTCTTACTGTAGTACTGCATGGTGTATATGTATCCTTCTAGACTCTCAAGTTGATTTTGTATTCCTCTCATTTACAGCCTATCACAAACCTACTCAAGATTTTCTGTGTTTGTTTGGCCTGGAGTGAAAATACAACTCTCTTTGTCTGTCCTGGCCAATCCTGTAGCCTCTGGCAATGTTTGTCTACGTAAATATTAATTAATTAAAATTAAGGACAATTTTCAGTTTGGTTCCCAACTACAACAGACCCAAGTGCTCAACAGTCACATGTGGCAAATGTCACTGTGTTTACACACAGGTAACCGGCTCTGCTGCTGTTTTTGTTACCTTGACAGAAGCCAGGGTCACTTGAGAAGAGAGAAACTCCACAGAGAAAATGTCACCATCAGGTTAGCATGTAGGCAGATCTGTGGGACACTAATTTAATGGCTGGTGTGGGAGCGCCCTGTCCATTGTGAATGGTGCTCCCCACCCCGCCCTGTAGGTGGCGCTGCTGGTTCTAAGTAAGCAGACTGAGCAAGCTATGGAAAGCAAGTCAGTCAACAGGGTTCCTCTATAGCCTCTGCTTCAGCTCCTGCTGCCGGGTTCCTGCTTGAGTTCCTGCCCGACTTCCCTTCATGATAAGAGTATCAACTGGAAGCTGAGGTAAAGCCTCCTCCCAAAGTTGCTTTGGGTTATGATGTCTTATCCCAGCAACAGAACACTAACTAGGACCCTGCCAATCAGAACAGAAAGGTCTCCTGGGCAGCGCTGACCTTGCTCATCTGCTTTCAAGCAAATACAGCAGGTAGCTTATTCATGACCCTTTTCAGTGTTCACGTGGGTTGCTTATCAGCTTATTTTAATAAAGATGATAATGGCCATCATGGCAACGATAATAGGTAGGAGCATTAATAGCCGTGGGCTCCAAGTGCTTTATTCTCCCAGATGTTTATTGTTTGTGGCAAATGGTTTACCAAGACACATATCTTTGTTTAAAGATAAGCAAAATGAGAGACAAGCACTCAGCTCTTTCTGGTTTCCTTTTTTATTCTCTGATAGGTATTATAAAGATGGGGTGTAGATAAAATATAAGAATTCACTGTGGGGGAAAAAAGAACTAAATCCTAGCATGCGTTTGTTGTATGCCATTAAATAAATAAAAACCAGCTTCAGAGGGGCAAAAAATGGACAGAAAACAGACAAGACAAAACTAATAGAAAAACTGAAAAAAAAATAGAGGACTGAGTAAGAGAAAGAAATATTGAAGCTGGAAAGATAAAGTACATTGCTAATATCAATCCTTTTGTCATTTCAAAAATTTATTCTTATTCTTTGAGAATATCATATATATATATATATATTTCTTAAGGAACATAGGAGAAAATAAAATAATATCATTAAACAAACAAAGAAGCATCAGCAAAAAGGATATTCAAGAAAAGACTTGAGATGCCCCCACTGGACCCAGACGGTATTAGGATGAAATCAAAATGAAAACAAAGAAGAAGGAGAAGGAGGAGGAGGAAGAGAAGGAAAACCTAGAATAGGTGACATCCAGAAGATGGTGAATCAACAGGGAAATTTCTTTTCCTATAATCTCCAGAATATTCATAAAGAAAAATTCCCAAAGAGCATCAGGCAGTGTACAATGAAAATAGCAGCTAGTACTCGAAGGAAGTTGGCGTGTGAAGGTGAGGGAGTCCTAATGTCACTTCCAGTACTCAATTTGTGCTTAATGGTTCCCAGCAAGAAAGTGCACCATGTGGAAATCATGTGGAAACTCTGCCTTGATTTACTAATCTGTTCCAAGGCAAAGAGGTCCTCGGACACCATATGAAGCCATTAGAGGTATCTAATGGCCTTCTCTAGTTGGCATCCTTAGGACAGGCTGGCTGTAATGGCTAGTTGCAGTTTGGTTCTCGCACGCAGTGGCTCGTGTTGTGTTCTGTATTTAACAACTGGGGTTCAGGAGAAAGTGCTGTCTACTTTTCCTGTCACCTCCTTGTGTTTCCATAGCATTTTTGCAGCCGCTCTTTGGAGGGGGGAAAAAGCTTTGGGTAGGGGCACCAGTGGGCGCTTGTGTGAGGGTGATGGATCTCCCTGTTAAACCTGAATTGCACAATCCTGCATTTTTATCATTCTGACGACTCTTGCTGGACGCAGGAAGCCTGTTTCCTTGCCAGCTGTTTATACTAGCAAATCAGAGGCTTGATACAATGCAGATGGCGATAACCTTTTGCCATACAGAATCCATGTCCAGTTTTTCTTTGGCAGCAAATTCTTTGTCTCATTCAGCATTCTGGATGTGTCCCCCCCTCCGCCCCCCGATATGTAGCAGATGATGTAAACTATTTCAGAAACACAAAAGAAAAATGCCAAGCTTCTACCACATTCCATGGCCATTACCACAGACTCGTTTGGCTCTGAAGGCTTGGTATGAAAAGTGTTTTATTGAATCATGTTTTAATTCAAGAATAATGGGATAAGTAGATGGGGAGAGCTGTAGATCATTTTCAGTAATGTACCCTCCCTCGTCCATCTTTAAAGCACATTCCAGGCCTAGCTCTTGTGTAACTCTTTGCCTGGACCGCTCGTCCTGCCATTATTCTTGCTGTCTTCAGTTTCATGTACTGACTTGCCAACAGAGCTAATGGCTCCTGGAAATACCTACCAATGCCTCTGCAAGAGAAAATGGCAGAATCCCAGCTTAAGGTTTTGTGAGTATTTTGTTTGTTTTAGATTTATTTATTTTTCTTAGTGTACACAAGTGTTTGATTTTCATCTGTTCCCGGTGTCCATGGAGGTCAGAAGAGGGTATCAGATTCCCTGGAACTGGAGTTATGGATGATTTTGAGCAACCGTGCGGGTGATGAGAACTAAGCCTGGATCCTCTGCAACAGCAACCAATGCTCTTAACCATTGAACCATCGCTCTGCCTCCCAGCCAGCTTACGGTCTGTGTGTCTGATGAGCAGTAACTGTGAGAAGGATGTGCCGAAGTCCACTCAGACCTGAGGGAAAGGCATTGGGGTCAACTGAGGCTAACATTCCAGGAAAGGATTTGTTCATTCTGGAAGGCACAAAAAGAAAATTAAATTTTAAGGATTATTTTAAGTATTTGTTAGTCTTTGAAACATTCACACATTTATACAGCGTTTATTGACCTTACCCACCCCCTATTCCCTCTCTCCAACTCCTCGTAGAGTAATTTTTGTACAAATATTACACGTTTACACACTCACGTTCCTACTACTTATTCAGGACCAACTCGTTCCAGCATCCGAGAGTTTACCCACTCGGTTCACTGAACAAATGTTTATGAGCACATACTCCACACATACACTGCTCTTGATAGCATGATCAAAAGGACCACAGTGAAAAAGAAAACCTCCTCTTCTCCCTTTCCCTCTTCGTCATTGTGCTCTTGTTTGTCATGTCTTGCCCGCAGCTAGCAGCCATGCCCTCATCAGCTGGCCATTCAGAGTGACCACCAGCACGATGGAGTGTCTGTGGAGATGCGATTGTGGCTTCCGGGTGGAACTAGAAAGAGAGAGCGTCTGTCTCGATCTTTGCTCATGGTGAATAGCAAAGATGAGGCAGACCCAACCGTCTGCCTCCTGGAGGGCTGGAATGAAGGCTTGCCCTCCAAACATGGAAAAATTGGATTTTACAAATTGCCTCATGCCATCGCAAACAGACAATTGGGCTTTCCCCCAGAAAGAGGACTGAGTTGAGTGTGTGTTCATATGGATGTTTCGGTCCATTCCAATTATTGTTTGTGCTTGTACGACTTCCCCCTTTAATGTATACATACTACAAATGTAAACACCCCCCGTAAGTATAAACTTGAGGTACTTAAGTCCATCCAGTTTCTCATCTTTGTCCGCACCCAAGCTGCCCCTTGCTGCTGTGCGGGGGAGGTGGGGGGGCGACTCCGCAGCTGCCCCTGGTTTCTTGGACTGGTCCATGCTAGTTCTTAGGTTTCTCTGTCTTCTGTCATGAGAAGCCCCAGCCTGTGTTGTACATTTCCTGCCCTCGGACAGAAACCAAACACTTTCTTCACAAATTGCTGGCACCTTCTACTGGGCAATGGTATTTAGAGACTGCAGCCAGCTCATTTCTACTGGGCTTGGTCCTTGATTGTGTGCGTGTGTGCATGCATGCCTGTGTGTGCGTGTGTGTGTGTGTGTGTGTGTGTGTGTGTGTGTGTGTGTGTCTGGGTAGATTCCTAGAAGTGAAATTGCTGGGTCAAACAGAATTTAGAGAAGAATTTCATGAGCTGATTCTTGAGCTCAGCTGACAAAAGAAACCTTTAAGTCTAACCACAAATACTTAAAAAAAGAAAAAAAGATGGTTAAAATTTCCTTTCCAGTTATAAAAAAGACTATAAACCAATAGCACCTCAAGTTCTGTGGCACTAACCAAGGACAGACAAGAATAAAACAGAAAGGAGAGGCTCAATTAGGGAATAGAGTGGGGGAAATCATTCTCAAGTTGAATAAAAATGGAGGTAGTCTCTGCTGTTCACTAAAGCACAGCAAAATTCTAAGTGTACTTAAGAATTTTATAAATAAGAATTTCAGTGTAATGCACAGAATATTGAGCAGGTTTGGGGTGAGGAGGTAGCAATCGCTGAGGCTTTCTCCTGAGCGAAGGCGGAGCTGCTCCTTACTGGTAGCCATAGACTGGGATTGCTGTCTGGCTCAGCTGCCGAGGAGTTTAAATAACCTGCCCTCAGAGGATCTCACTTCCAACCGAAACCGCCCTTACCCTCGAGATGCCCGGCTGCCACTCTGACCACCCTCGAGCTGTGCAGCAGAGTCACCTTCTCCTCTCCTCCCTGCCTCTCATCTCTCATCCTGGAAATGCGCGGAGATGCAGAGGTCCCAGTGAGACTCTCTACTCACCGCCCAAGCCCAAGGGACCACGAGGACCCATTGGGATGAGAAACTGTGTGTTGGGGAAAAAAAAAAAAACAACATTTTCTTACAAGCTGGTGATGGTTTTTAAAACTCCATCTTACTGATGCTGAATAGACTCACATTCTGTGGACATTTCTTCAGCATTATATTGGGGATGGAGTCCAGGTGTGACTCATACTAGCCACGCACTCTACTCCCAGCCCAGGACTTTTTCTTTCATCCATTTCCACCTGATGAGGCAACAAGGCCATCTGTGGGCATCCAAGAAACTCAAAACTAGAAGTTTCCAGTACTTCACTTTTGAAAACTGAGTCGTGAATAGAATTTCTCATCTTTCTGCAAAGCCGCCCGGGGAATGGTCCCTCCTCAGGTCTCTGCACTTCTGTCTTCTGAGTTGTACAATGGCCTCATGCATGGTCACATCACCCTCCTGAATATCCAAGTGGAAGAGGATATGTGACTCTCCGTGCCTCATGGGATGTCCATCTGTCAGCTTTTCTGTGATTCGATGGGTGTGGAGAGAGATTGGTACAGACTCAGAGGCTCACAGAAGAGGAGAACATCTCCTTTCTCTAGCCTTCCCCCTCACCCCCCAGAGATTCTTGTCTGGGGATTAGACAACCTCACTCTTGGCATGCCTTCATCCACTTGTCCTTCACCAAAGGGACAGCTTTCTAAACTCTAAGAACCAAGCCCATGAAGGCTGTTGATTGAGTAATGTCTGTTAACACTGTGTGTCTTGTTCTGTCCCACGCCCAGCCTTATGTGCCCGTCTTCGTGGCTCCCATCTGACCTAGCTTACATCACCGGGCTTGATCCTTAGGATGTGTGGGGACAGAGTTAAACACTTCTTCTCAAACTGCTGGCCCTTCTAATGGTTTCTGGTGTCATTTGCAATTTGATTTTCTTTAAATTCGGGTTTGGCAGCTTTAGTTGCAGCTTACAATAGCAAAGTTTACATAAGAATAATTCAATTATAAGCAGCATCCGTTGAGTATCTAGTAATAGACTTTCCTTTACATGGAGATCGGTCTTATAATCTGAAAAAAAAATCTATCCTGACTCATGAGTCTGCTCCCTAAAATAATTAAAATCGAACTTATTTTTCAGAGCATATCTTATTTTAATTTTGAGAAAATCTAGGGTATAATTGTTGCTATTCTGGTCCACTTTCTAGAAAACAGGTAGTGGCTCTCCCATTATTGCCAGATAAACCAGGCTGCCTTCTCAGATCTTGCTAGAAAATGTATCCTGCCTCTTCCTCATCTTTCCCACGCAATTCTAAAGAAAAGTCTCAATAGACAATTGCATGACAAGGCTAGATCCACCCCTGGAGCTCTGTTACCTTTGAGGTTTGATAAAGCATCTCTGGCAATGGAGTGTTAAAAGCGTCCCTTTGCTTCTGTCCATGGTGAAGGAGTTACACACATCATAAAACAGAATGACCTGTCCTAAAACAATAAAGCTCAGATGTCAGGGTTGGCGGAGCCGTGTTTTCCCATGAAGATAGGGTGCTGCCAAAACCTGCTGATTTCATGCAAATCCTGGGTGGTCCAGAAAGATGAAGCATCGGATTAATTCTACATTTTTGAAGGAGTTGTGGAAAAACAAATATAGGCAGGAGGTCAGCCATCAGAAGCCCTGAAAAAGACACTTTCCGATAAATTTTTCTAGTGAGGCTGGGGGTGGTTTAGATGGAGAGAAAGGTGCAATGCAGATGCTTAGAACTCGGGTTGGTTCATGTTTCCAGGTCTGGAGGAGACCTGAGAGAAGATTAGCGCCACAAGAAGGGGTAGTTATTGAGTCAATGTTATTCTGTAAATCCTTGTTCCTCATTGGCCAGTTCAGTAGTATTGAGGATCATGGAGCCGTGATTATAACGATGACGATGACCACGACACTTTTTACATGCTATTGAGGCTCATTTAGCGTCTGTGAGGCCAGAGCCGATCCCAGTCTGTGTTCCTGGTTTTCTCTCACTGACTGGTGTTTCTCAGGCCCTGCCTCAGCTGGGAAAGGAAGCAGAGGGGCCGGCGCCACTCACGCTCGGATCTTCCCTGTGTCCTTACAGCAAATCCTTCGTCACTCTAGAGAGAACGCCACCAAAGTCATATTTCTCATCACCGATGGCTATTCCAACGGCGGAGACCCTAGACCCGTTGCAGCATCCCTGCGGGACTTTGGAGTGGAGATCTTCACGTTTGGGATTTGGCAGGGAAATATCCGGGAACTGAACGACATGGCTTCCGCCCCAAAGGAGGAACACTGCTACCTGCTCCACAGTTTTGAAGAATTTGAGGCTCTTGCTCGCAGGGCATTGCATGAAGGTAATGGAAGCTAATAGCATTACAGGCACCTTGAAATGTTGTTTTCATTTGTTATTTTCTCTCTCTCTTCTTGCGTGAAGAAGAGTGATTTCAAGCTCTCGCGTTGCTCTTGGCGGAGCGTGAGGCTCAGGAGCGCTTTGGGTGTCACGGAATCCTCTGAATTGCCCGGAGATGGCATGCTGACCTGGCAGGAATCTTGTTTTGCCTTGTTTCTTAACAGCTGTGATGCATCTTGCCTAGAATATCCATACATCCCCACCTAGATCCATGGGATGAATTGAGGTGTGTTTGGAGGCCACACACAGAGTGGGAAGCCTTGACTGAGCTCGCCTTTACAGCTATCTGGACAGATGAAGTAAACATTCTGAGGCATGAGCCCTGAATCTCATCAGAATGTTTCCAGAAATAGGAAGATAGGACGCTAAACACTTAACGCACACTTCTTCCCCTGACAGCTTGGAGATAAATGGCTTTTGTCATAAGAGCGTCGGTCTTCAAGGGGGAGAAAAATTGGCAAATGCATGCATGCGACACACCACATAGAAGGATGGTTAGCCATACAGTTCTCCGTTAGATGAGCTCGCCGGCTGTAATGTGAGCCAGGAGAAGAGAATGTGAACTGTGAGGAGTTGACAGGAGACTTAGCCATGGGCCAAATTGGGCATGATCCTGGCAGGTACTCAAGTGAAAACTCTGACATAGAGTGGGAATCATAGCAATAGATTCGAAGCACGCTGTGAGGCTCAAAAAGCAAACAAACCGACAAGCAGGTTAGCCCTAGTGTAGTTCCAAGAGAAGGGTTTCCAGCAGGCTATCAGGCT